TTCCTCGTAAAAATCTAGCCTGGTCCTAATGTATGATCTTCATAATATATTGCTGTAATCTCCTTGCTAGTAGTTTATTTAACATTTCTTTGGAAATCAATATTCATTAGAGAAATTGGTCTATGGTTTTTTTTTCTCTGATTCTCCCTGTTTTAGTTATCAGAACCATATTTGTGCTATAGAAAAATTGGTTAGGATTCCTTTTTTACCTATTTTTTCAAACAGTGTACTACTGGATTTAATAATTTTTTAAGTATGGTAGAATTTGGTCCTGAGTTGTTGTTTTTTTCTCCCCTTAGGGAGCTCATTTCTGGCTTATTAAATTTCTTTTCCTGAGATAGAGTTGGTTATTTAAGTACTCTATTCCTGTTCTCTTAATCTGGGCAATTTGTAGTTTTGTAAACATTCATCTATTTCATTTAGATTATCAGTTTTATTGGCATATACTTGGGCAAAGAAAAATTTATTTTATTAATTTATTTTGATTTATCAACAATCACTTCCATATGCTTTTGAGTTTAAAATTTTTCTCCCCCTTACTCCCCACCACCCTCCCCAAGACGGCACACAATCTGATATAAGCTATACATTTACATTCCTATTAAACATATTTTCACATTAGTGAAGTTGTAAGTAAAAATTAAAACCAATAGGAGGAACCATCAGAAAGAAGAAACAAAACTCAACAGAAGAGAAAAAAAAAGATAGCGATTCAGCTTCCATAGTTTTTTCTTTGGATGTGGATAGCATTTTCCATCACGAGACCTCTGGAGATGTCTTAGATCCTTGTATTGCTGAGAAGGGTTAAGTCGTGGCTGTTACAGTGTACAGCATTCTCCTGGTGCTCCTCACTTCACTCAGCATCAGGTCATGTAAGTCTTCCCAGGTTTTTCTGAAACCTTCCTGCTCATCATTTCTTATAGCACAGTAGTATTCCATTACAATCATATACCACAACTTGTTCAGCCGTTCTCCAATTAATTGGCATTCCTTCAATTTCCAATTCTTTGTTACCACAAAGAGAGCTGCTATAAGTTTTTTTTTTTTAGGCAGTTGAGGTTTAAGTGATTTGTCCAGGGTCACACAACTAGTGCTATACAAATAGGTTACATCCTGTCTCCCCACCCCTCCCCCACCCCCAAGCTTTTTATCTCTTTGGGATACAGACCTAGTAGTGGTATTGCTGGATCAAAGGGTATACTCAATTTTATAACTCTTTGGACTTAGTTCCAAATTGCTTTCCAGAATGGTTGGATCAGTTCACAACTCCACCAGCAATGCATCATATTTTGCCCCAATTTTCCCGCATCCTTTCCAACATTTATAATTTTCCTTTTCTATCATATTAACCAATCTCATATGTGTAAGGTAGTACCTCAGAGTTGTTTTAATTTGCACTTCTCTAATCAATAGTAATTGAGAGTATTTTTTTCATATAGCTTTAGATAACTTTGATTTCTTTGTCTGAAAATTGCCTGTTCATGTCCTTTGACCACTTATCAGTTGGGAAATGACATATTTTTATACATTTGACTCCATCCTCTATATATTTGAGAAATGAGGCCTTTATCAGAGATGCTTGCTTTTTGTTTCCCAGCTTTCTGTTTCCTTTCTAATCTTGACTGCATTGTTTTTGTTTGTGCAAAACATTTTAAATTGAACATAATCAAATTATCTATTTTACATCTCATAATGCTCTCTGTATGTTTTTTGGTCATAAATTTTTCCCTTCTCCATGGATCTGATAGGTAAACTATTCCTTGCTCTCCTAATTTGCCCATGGTATCACTCTTTATGTCTAAATCACATACCTGCTTTGATCTCATCTTGATATATATACATTGTGAAATAAATGTTGGTCTATACTTAGTTTCTGCCAAACTGTTTTCCAATTTTCCCAGCAGTTTTTGTAAAATAGTGAGTTCTTGTACCCAAAGTTTGGGGACAAACTAGTATTTGATTTATCAAGTTGATTTATCAAATACTAGATACTATGGTCATTTACTACTGTGTATTAATACTGCTAATTTATTCCACAGATTCACCACTCTATTTCTTAGCCAGTACCAGATTGTTTTGATGATTACAGATAGGCCACCTTCCCTCACATTTTTTTTTTCACTAAGTCTCTTGATATGCTTGATCTTTTTGTTCTTTCAGATGAATTTTGTTATTATTTTTTCTAGCTTTATAAAATAATTTTTTGGTAGTTTGATTGGTACAGCACTGAATAAGTAAATTAATTTAGATAGAATTGTCATTTTTATTATATTGGATTGGCTACTCATGAGCAATTAATATTTTTCCAGTTGTTTAGATCTGACTTTTTTTGTGTGAAAAGTATTTTGTAATTGTGTTTGTATAGTTGCTGGGTTTGTCTTGGCAGGTAGACTCAAGTATTTATATTATCTACCATTGTTTTAAATGGAATTTCTCTTTTTATCTCTTGCTGCTAGACTTGTTGGTAATATATAGAAATGCTGATGATTTATTTATATTCTTCAACTTTGCTAAATTTGTTAATTATTTTAACTAGATTTTTAGTTGATTCTCTAGGATTCTCTAAGTATACTATTGTATTTACAAAAAGTGATAGTTTAAACTTTATTTCTTCCAGAATTCTGGTTGGGCCTTTACCTAAGCTGTATTTTTCTTTGATGCTTTGTTGGATGTAATTCTCTTCTTCTGGGTATGTCTTGGTCATCTCTATTACTGTAAGAGCACTTTCCAGTGATATTTTTTGTTTGCTCATTATTCCAACCTATTTCTTGATTTTAAGGCTAAGCTCTACACACTCCTGGGGGGAATGTCTGGGCTGAGCTTTTGTCTTCTTGTACCCTTCTGCTGCTTTCTTGGGTTACCAAGAGTTATTTTAGGCTATCAGGAGCAGCTCAAGTTGGAGACCTTCAGACTTTGTGTTCCCAAAGTGATGTGATCTGGGGTGAAACGTTCACTGCCCTCCTGGTCTGAGCTTTACAAGTTCTTGACCCAGGTTTGAATCTCTGCAAGATACCAGTTGGCTTGTCACTGGCTGGACGTTCCAGTAGACTGATGCTAGACTTAGCCTGCTTGGAAACTCTGCAAGTTCAGTGTAACACAACTTCAGGCTGCCCTTTCTCCTGGGGTTCCTGCCCTGGTCATTACACTAGGTTTTAGCCTAATCTGGAGAATAAAATTGAGTCCCTGCTCTGATTCTGGATTCAGACCCTCAGAGCTTCTGTTTGTTTCTAACCTGGTTCTTTGTTCATTACACAGCCTAGGGTGGTCTGTTACTGCTCCTGTCTGCCACACATAGGACCAAGTCCGCTCCTCAGTGCACCCTGCATCTGTGACGCACAACTGGGTAGTGAGCGACAGCTGTCACATGGCACCAGTTCCTGTAACCTGCACCAGTTCAGAGTCAACCTGAGACCTCTTCCTGCCCTGGTGCTTCCTGCTGCTGTACAATCTCCATCTTCTTTCAGTCTTTGGGCACTAGGAAGTTTGCATGGTGCTCTTGGCCATATCTTGTCTCTCTGTCTATCTCTCTCTCTGCTGACCTTGGCTAGGGAAATGCCTCATTGTGATTTTTTTTCTTGGATTTCCCCATGTGGTCTGGTATGTTTTCTAGATCTTTGTGGAACAAGTATGTTTTAGGACCTGGGCTATAGTTCCTCCTTCTCCTCTGTCATTGTGACTTCCTATTCCTTTTCTTCTACAATATAACAAATACTTTGTAAACCAATAATAAGTCCTGGCCAATTCAAAAATTCACTTAAACAAGCATTTATTAAGTACCTACTGTGTACTAAATGCTAGTGATATACTGACCTAGGTGGTTCAGGATACAAAGACCAAAAAACCCAGTTCTTGCCCTTAAGGAACTTTCATTGTGCTGGAAGGTGAAGAAGGACACACCCACAGATACAAGAAAACATAAAGGACTTTTGAGCAATAGAGCACTAATAATTGTAGGAAAGTCCTTTGTAAGAGGTGACACCTGATTTGAGCCTTGAAGTGATGTAACAAACAATTTCAAGTTTGGCAGGTAAGGAAAGTGAGCATTCCAGGCCCAAAGGAACCTCTGGAAAGTCAGGATGTGTAATATTGTATGCAGGAAAGCAAAAGGCCAGTTTGACTGGAACATAGAGCGCATGAAGGAGAATAATGGGAAATCAGTGGAAAGATCACCCCAAGCTGGCTTAGGAAGGGATTTAAACACAGTCCAGAAGAGTTTTCATTTTATCTCAGAAGTGGTAGTGAGACATTAGAGCTTCTTGAGCCAAAGAGTAACGTGGGTATACCTGTGTTTTAGCAATTTCAATTTGGCAAATGTGTAGCAGGTAAATTGGAGAGACTCAAATCCAGAGACCAGTGTCAAAGCTGTTGAATAAATGAGTTCAGGTGTCAAGGGCCTACGCTAGAGTGGTGGCTTTGTGAGTGTAGAGAAGAGAACAATTTGTGAGAGATGTTGTAGAGGCAGAACTGACAAAGAATTGGAAAATTAGGAAGAGGAGTGTGTTTAGAGGAAAAAGTGGTGAGTTGTTTTTTGGATGGGTTGAGGTACCTATGAGACGTCCATTTGATGATATTGAGTAGGCCGCTGATGCCGTAAGAATGGAGATTGAGAGAGATAAAGTCCAGATATATAGATTTGGGATCTTGGTACAAAGATGATAGTTGGATAAAAGAGAGATAGAAAGAGATACAGATAGATAGCGAGAGAATAAGGTCTAGGCTAAAGTCTTCCTAAAATAGTGAAAGTTCCCAAAGTCTAGTCCAGAGGGCAGGCTGTAGGAAAGAGAAGCAAGTGAATGGAAGGGATTAATGGTGCTATGAGACAGCCTTACAAGTAAATATGTTTACAACACTTTTGGTCAGTCTTTCTTCTTCCCCAGGAGGCACAAATAAAAGTTTAAAAAATTGTTCACTCAAATAGGTAGCACTCTTTTCTTATCCTGGCTGAGGACTGATTTTCCTGGGTTCCTAATGCTGTAATACAGGGTACCATTTTTTTTCCTTTAGTTTTGTTGCCAGTGAAGGGCACCGATTTTGTAGTGCCCAGGTTTCTCTCTCACTTCTGAACATGGCTTATCCTCAAATACCATTTGCAATGTATCTTTCAAGGACTTTCTGGTTCTCTTTCCCCTGACCTGACCAACCATGAAGTAGACAACTGGGTTAATGGTACTATTGATACAGGATAATAAATTCAAATATAAATATAACATCAATAAAAATGAATCATTTTCATCCGGGAAATTATACACCATCAACAAAACTCTCAAAGGTATGGCAAAGACAAGGAATAAAATGACCGTGGTTATGATGATGATGTAAAGCTTGGCTGGTTGGTGGTGCTTCAGGTTACGGAAGACCTTGATGAAGAGGGTCAAGCTCGCAAACACCATGAGAGGGGCAAACACAAGGAAGTTCAAGATAAGCAAAAATACTTCCACCATAGTACATGGTCTAGTGGGGAAGCTGGGATGTGTACCCTGAAGACAGAAAAAGCCTTCTAACCAGGTCACAAAAATGGAGAGTGCCCACAGCAAGACGCAAACCGCAGCAGATTGGTGCTTTGGGCGTTGGCTTTGGTACCAGATTGGGTAAAGGACTGAAAGACATCTCTCCACACTGATGGCTGTCAGGAGGTAGAGGCCAGTGTCATAGCCAAACAGAATCAGTATACAGAAGATAAACAGAAACAACTGTGATCGAAATAATTCCCTACCGGAATTGAAGTAAACTATGTCTTTTATAATAAAGATAGACGTACAAACAAGGAAAGTCAAGTCAGCAATTGAGAGGTAGAGGATGTAGACAATGAAGGAGGTCTTCTTGAAGTGGAAGAGGAGAAAATAAATGACAAGTCCATTGTCAACTATCCCTAACAGGGAAATGAAAAGAGAAACATGGTTTAAGATAACTTCTAGTGATGTTGAATTCAAAGAAGATGCATTCACCTGACTCCTGGTATTGACCATGGACTCCAGAGTAGGTAGGGTGGTTCGCGACTGCTCCATTATTTAGAAATTGTCACTTTTTTTTCTTCACACCTGTTGGCAGAAATGGCCGATACTACGTATAGGTGATATTTATTGAATCGTAGACATTTAGAACTGGAAGAAACCCTAGAAATCCTATGTGAGACAGAACATAGCAGAGTAGAGAGAGGGCTCCACTTGGAGCCAGAAAACCCTGGATCCGGATCTCACCTTGATTACTTCTAGCTATTTGGTCTTGCATAAATCACTCAGCTTCAATTTGTCTTTTGTAAAATAGGGATAATAATACTTGTAGCATATTCTTATATGGTAGTTCTGAGGGTCAAATAAGATAGCATGTACAGAGTCTCCCAAAAGTGGCTATGAAAGCTTACTAGCTGTATGACCCTGGACAAGTCACTTAACCAGTTTCCTCATCTGTAAAACGGGCTAGTGAAGGAAATGGCAAATCACTCCAGTATCTTTACCAAGAAAACCCCAAATGGGGTCACAAAGAGTCAGACAAGACTGAAATGACTAAACAAAAAAACAAAAAACAAAACACCACCGTCAAGGAATTCACAGTCTAATAAGAGAAATGCACAAAGGGAAAAGCACAAAGTACTAGCCCCCTGCCCCCCCAAAAAAAACTTAAGGAAGGAGAAATGACTTTTGGGTGGGGGTATCAAGGAAGATTCACTGAGGAGGTAGTTGCTCTTAACCTGAGCCTTGAAGGCAGAGGAGATTTTCAAAAGACAAAGATGTAGAAAGAATGTGATCCAATCCTGGGAGAACAGCCTATGTCAGTGCCTGGATTGGGAAAGTTGAGAAGACAGAGCATCAAGTAGTCTTAGTTTCTCTGGCACACAGTGTGTAAAGAAGAGTAATTCAAGAAAGGTAAAGTAGTTTGGAGCTGGACTGTGAGGGTCCTTAAGTACCAGGATAAGTAAAGAGTTAACAGTTTATCCTAGGAGCAATAAGGAGCCATGGAAAATTTTTGAGCAGTGGTGGGAGCATGTAAGAAGCAGCACAGTATAATAAGAAAAGCACTAGACTTGGGAGTCACAACCTAAGACTTTTGTAGCACTTTGCAAACCCTAAAAAAAGATATGTGTGATTGCTATTATCTCTTGGGCTAACACCGCCATCATGTTATAGATGGAGAAATCCAGGCCCAGAGAGGCTAAGTGACTTGCCTATGCCATTTTGAACATTTTTCTTCCTAACCTAAAAATGCTTGAATTTAGAATAATGTTAAATTAACAAAAAAATTATTTCTGGAAAACTTGTACCTAAAACACAGGATATAGCGTTAATTTTTTTTTTTCTGAGACAGGTGTTTTTTGGGTTTTTTTTTGTTTTGTTTTGTTTTGTTTTGGCAACTGGGATTAAGTGACTTGCCCAGAGTCACACAGCTAGTGAGTGTTACTGTGTCTGAGGCCACATTTGAACTCAGGTCCTCCTGACTCCAGGGCTGGTGCTCTATCCACTGCGCCACCTAGCTACCCCCTCTGAGACAGTTAAGTGGAAACAACATTGGCTGTGGAATCAGAAGATTTGAGTTAAAATTCTGCCTCTGAGACTAATTGCTGTGTGGCCTTGGGCAGATAAATCACTTAGGTTTTCTGGGCCTCAGTTTCCTTATTTGTAAAATGAGGGGGAGATGACCTCTAAGGTGTTGGCTGGCTCTAAATCTGTGATCCCATTATCCTAAAAGAAAATTAGACCATGAGTCAGGGGACTCCCAGATCAATCATTGTGCAACTTGAGAAAGTCACTTCTCTGGTCTTCAATTACCGTAGTGATAAAATAAGATGTTCAGATGAAAGGCTCAGTCAGGTTCCTTCCAACTCTGACGTTCCATGACTGTGTGCAACAAATGCCAGGTTCTGTAGCTTTCATGTGGCAGAAAATGTTCTCCAATATCTCCTGTAGACCCGTGGGAAAGGCAGGGTCCTCAAGTGCCTTGGGACATTCGGGGGCACTCCATTCAGACCCCAGCTATATGGGCCTTTTTCCAGGAACTGACTTTTTTATGTGGCCAACTACTATTTCTGGAGTTTCATTAGTCCAAAATATCTATATGTAGACCTGGGAAAAAGTGACCTTTAGTTCAGGCATGTGGAAATCTTTATTCCAAAATGGAAACTTGAAGTAGAGGAAGGAGAGAAAGGTTAAGGATTTAGGTAAATATATCATCTCCTAGGCCTGGGACCTCTCCTACCTGGGACTTTCCCACAAAAGTACATGAAAGGACTCAGGATTGTTCCAAAGTAAAATGCAGCTTTGGAGCTAATCTCACTGTTGGCAGGCAAAAGTTGTTTTTGGCACTCACCAGTCACTGCCTTTCTCCTTCCTGGCCTTTTCCCCCTCAAGGCAGCCAGGTGGCCCAGTAAATAGAGCAGTAGACTGGTAGTGAGGAAGATCCAAGTTCAAATCCTGCCTCTGATACTTATCTTTCTCAACCTTAGCTTCCTCATCTGTAAAATGAGGTTGTTAAGAGGACCTTAAAGCACTACATAAATGCTAGGATATAACTAGTCATCACTTCTCTGTAAATTCTTCCCCTTTCAAGTCCTCTCCTGTGACTCAGCAGATGAGCTCTGGTTAGAAGAAAGCATTGGATGTAGTAAGCCACACTAAAGTGTCCCTTATCGTTTCTTCCAAGGGCATTCACATTTAAAAAAGAAGACCCAGAGTACACACATGACCTTTGACTCATCCCTCTCTCCCTCAGCTTCTTATCCAATCAGTTGCCTGGTCCTAAGGTCAGACAGTCTCTCCCTGCTGTTCTTCACTGCCACCATTGTGGTTCAGGCCCTCATCCCCTTTCTCTCCTGGTCTATTCCAATCCTAACCGACTTTCTGGTTTCCAGTCTCTCTCCTCTCTAATTCCCCCTTCACACAGCTGCTACATTATTCTTTCTAATATTCGGGTCATTGAATTATAACAATGCAGAGCAGGAAGGTCAGTCGGAGATCCTCTAGTCAAACGCTTCATTTTACAGATGAGGGTTAGCTCAGCGCGTAATTACTAGTAGAGCCAGGATTTAAATCCAGGTCGTGACTCCAAGTTTAGTGCTTTTCTTATTATACTGTGCTGCTTCTTACATGCTCCCACCACTGCTCAAAAATTTTCCATGGCTCCTTATTGCTCCTAGGATAAACTGTTAACTCTTTACTTATCCTGGTACTTAAGGACCCTCACAGTCCAGCTCCAAACTACTTTACCTTTCTTGAATTACTCTTCTTTACACACTGTGTGCCAGAGAAACTAAGACTACTTGATGCTCTGTCTTCTCAACTTTCCCAATCCAGGCACTGACATAGGCTGTTCTCCCAGGATTGGATCACATTCTTTCTACATCTTTGTCTTTTGAAAATCTCCTCTGCCTTCAAGGCTCAGGTTAAGGGCAACCACCTCCTCAGTGAATCTTCCTTGATACCCCCACCCAAAAGTCATTTCTCCTTCCTTAAGTTTTTTTTGGGGGGGCAGGGGGCTAGTACTTTGTGCTTTTCCCTTTGTGCATTTCTCTTATTAGACTGTGAATTCCTTGACGGTGGTGTTTTGTTTTTTGTTTTTTTGTTTAGTCATTTCAGTCTTGTCTGACTCTTTGTGACCCCATTTGGGGTTTTCTTGGTAAAGATACTGGAGTGGTTTGCCATTTCGTTCTCTCGCCTGTTTTACTGATGAGGAAACTGAGATAAAAAGGGTTAAGTGACTTGTCCAGGATCACACAGCTAGTAAGAGTTTGAGGCTGCATTTGAACCTGGGTCTTCCTGACTCCAGGCCTGGTACTCTATTTCCTGCACACTTAGCTGCCCATCCTTGAGGGCACGTGTATAATCTCTATTAAATTTCTTGCCCTCAAGGAGGGGCTTGAGGAGGGAGAGAGGGAGAGAATTTTGAACTCAAAATTTAAAAAAATGGATGTTTAAAAATTTTGGCTTACATGCAATGGAGGGGAAAAAAAGATGAAGCATAAAAAAAGAAGAAATTTTCCTCTAGCCAGAGTTGTGAAAAATTCTTCTCTCTCTTTTCCTCCATTAAATAAAATGCTATGGTCTTTTATGTTTAAGTCAGATACCTATTTGGAACTTGTATATGTGCTATAAGATGCTGCCCTAAACCACTTTTTGACAGACTGCCTTTCAGTTTTCCCAGCAGGGGAAGGGAAAGAAAGGGAAGGAAAGGGAATAAGCATTTTATATAGCACCTGCTATATGCCAGGCATTGTGTTAAGTGCTTTGCAAATATTATCTCATTTGATCTTTATAACAACCCTGTGAGGTAGGTGCTGTTATTATCCTCCTTTTACAAATGAGGAAACTGAGGTAAACAGAAGTTAGATGACTTGCTTAGGGTCACACAGCTAGAAAGTATCTGAAGCTGTATTAGAACTCAGGTCTTTCTGACTCCAGGCCTAGTGCCCTATTCATCATGCTGTACGTAGAGCAAACATGTAGTCGGGTCTGATTGATTGAACACAAGGTTATTAAGATCAACTTGTGAAGGTAAAATATTGGACCTATAAGTAATGGTTTAGAATAGATTACTTGACAATGAAATGAGAAAAAAAAATTAGATAGCTTAGGCATGAAATTCTTTTGTTGATATTATGAGGTAGATAAAAAGACATATTTTGATCTCATGTTTTGCAAAGAGATCCTTTCAGTTTGTTATAATACTCTTTTTGAAATTTAGTAACACAACATTTTCCAGAGTCACTGAGGGAAAAAAAAAACTTGAAGAGCTGAGTGATTAAGGTGAATCATGATGCTTCTTTGCTAACTAATTTTTCTCCCCTTATTGGAAGGTTCTGAGACCTTTTCTCTATTTACCTGTGGTTATATTTTCTAATGTCAGTGTTCATTATGCTTAGTGGAAGAAAGAGACTTCATTCTGGATTTCAGGTAAATTAATCAAAGACACATTTATTAATTTTTACAAGTAATTGTAGGGATAGAGATTACAGACAATAAATTTTCCTACTAATCAGAGACCTTTGTGACTCTGGAAATTTCCAACTTACATTGTAAAATAATAATGAAACAAAAGATGAAGAAATTTTATAATTAGGAAAGAACAAAGGTATGTCTACAGTTTTCACAGGCTGATTGTGGACACCAATCTTGTGGGAGATTCTGACTGCTCAAAGAATTAATTTTGTTGTTGTTTAATCATTTAAGTAGCATCCGACTCTTTGTGACACCATTTGAGGTTTTCTTGGCAAAGATACTGGAGTGGCTTGCCATTTCCTTCTCCAGCTCATTTTACAAATGAGGAAACTGAGGCAAACAGGGTTGAGTGACTTGCCCAGGGTCATTCAGCTCTCAAGTATCTGAGAGCAGATTTGAACTCAGGTCCTCTTGACTCCAGGCTAGGCCCTCTTTCCACTGTGCCACTTGCCTCCTTTCATAAGATTAAGGATACTCCCAGTGCTTATTTGGGCAGTGATTCCCGTGGACATTAAGTCCACCCTAAACACCCTAATCCTTAGTTTTAATAGATTCCTTAGGATTGTTGGCTTTTTTTCCCCCCTTACGTTAGGGTGAAAACCTTGAGCTTATCTTTACTGTGTCTGGCCCACTAGTTATCTATGTATTGGGAACAGTATTAACAAATGCTTTGGAGAACAATTACCACAAAACAGGATGAATGTTGTGAAACTCTAAAGAACAGTCTTGATCCCAAAGAAGATATATGAGAAGACACCTACATTTTGCAGGAGTGAGGATTCATGGGTGTGGGACATTGTATGTAACATTAGATTTTTTGATGTATTGATTGGTTTTGCTGATTTTCTTTTCTTCTTTCTTTAAAAAAAACCCTTATGAAGTTGACTTTTGGAAAGAAGAGATATAGGAGAAAATATAGGCAATGTAAAAACAAAAAAAAAATCAATAAAAATCTACTTTAAAAAAAAGAAAAAATATGCTTTGGAAACCTTTGAAGCAAAATACAACCAATTCAGTAATTTACTTTCAGAAGACATTTATCAAAAGTCCCTACCCTTGCCAGCTACTGTGGTGTATGTGTATGTATATGTGTACATTATATATATACATATATGTACACATATACATATGTACAAACACATACACGAAAGACAAAACTGAAAAACTGAAACAACCTACTGGAGGAAAACATCATGAACCCAGATAATGAAATATATAATATATACAAAATCATTTTTATGGGCAGAATGAAAATACTAACAACTTAGGTGAAGGGGCTTCAGAATAGGTTTCATATCAGAAGTAGCAATTAAGCTAAGTCTTGAAGGGAGCTTGGGACTCCTAGAGAGGGAGGGGAAGAAGAGCATTCCAGCTGTTCCATAGGGACAGCCTATGCAAAGGTATTAAGATGGCAGATGGAATGTCTTATATGGGGAATAGCACATAGACTAGATTGCCTGGAAAATAGAGGTGTGTGGAGGAGGAGAGTATAATCTGAAATTAATTTGGAAAGACTGGAAATACTTGTAAAGGGTTTCGAATGTCAAGGAGGAGTGTGTCTTAGAGACAATAGGGAGCCACAATAGAATCTTAGTAGGGGCAGCTAGGTGGTGCAGTGGATAGAGCTCCAGCCTTGGAGTCAGGAGGACCTGAGTTCAAATGTGGCCTCAGACACTTGACACTTACTAGCTGTGTGACCCTGGGCAAGTCACGTAACCCCAGTTGCCTTAAAAACAAAAAAAAGAATCTTGAGTAAAAGAGCGTAGTATAATCAGATCTGTACTTTAGGACCATTAATTGGCCCGCTGTGCGGAGGATAAATTGAAGTGACTGGAAGCAGGAAGAACAATTAGGAGGCTACTGTTATAGTCCAGGTAAGAAGGCCTGAATTGTGTTGGTTACAAGGGGATTACATTCTACTTGAGGGAGAGGGAAGAGTGAAGAATGAAGAGTTAAGGTCAGAGGATCATAGCTTTAGAGTTAAGGGTCCTTATGGGCCATTAAATCTAGCTTTGTCTTTTTATAGATGAAGAAGGACAAGTTAAATGACTTGCCCAGGGTTTCTTAAGGGTCTAAGGTGAGATTTGAACCTCTCTCCTCATAACTGGACTTGGGTCCAGTGGCCTATTGGCTACATCACATTGCAATTTATAAGAGGAGAAGGAAGGTGGAAGAAGGAAGGTGGAAGAAGGAAGAAGGTAGGCTATCTTCAGGGATGTGAACCTGGGCAACTTGAAGACTGATATCCACAGAAGTTGAGAGGCAAAAAGATATAAGGAGTTTGAGGGAAAAGAGAATGAGTTCTGTTTTGGCAGTGTTAAATTTGAGTTACTTATAGAACATCCAGGTGGAGATTTCTAGGTGGCAGTTGGTGACATGGGACTTGCAGTCAGAAGAGAGATGAGAGCTAGATATGTAGATTTGAGAATTTTTGTTGCTATATGATAATTGAACCTATGGAAATGGATGAGATCACCAAAAGAAAAAATGGGGATTAAAATACAAAAAGTCAGTCTCAGCCTATAAGGAAATACAAATCTAATCAGAAATGAGAGACAGAAAGAGAAGGGTTTCCAGGACAGATCTTTTGAAAATAGCTAAAACTATTTCCCAGTGTCTGGTTTGGAGAATAAGATTAGAAGGAAGTGGAATGAGTTAAGGACAGTAAAGACAGCTTTATCAGTGTATATGTTTATAACATCTTCCCTAGAAAATGCAAAGAGAATTTTAAAAGTTGTCTACTCAAATAGGCAGCAATCTTTTCTTACCTTGGCTGAGAATATACTTTCTAGGTAATCTTAGTTTAATACAGAATAGGATTTATTTCCAGTGAGGAGCACTGAATTTGGAGTGAATCTATGATCCTGTGATCTCATTCTCAAAGACCCTTTGCAGTGTATCTTTCAAAGACTTCCTGGTTGTCTTTCTCCTGATCTGACCGACCACCAAGTAGACAATTGGGTTGACAGGCTATTCATAAAGGATAATGTATTCAAATATGGATGTAACAATCTCAGAGACTCATAGTTTTCATCTTCAAAATTACGTATCATCACCAAGACTCTTGAAGGCATAGCAGAGAGAAGGAACAGAATGACTGTGGTTATTATGATGGTGTAAAGCTTCGCTGGTTGGCAGTGCTTCAGCTTACAGAAGACCTTGATGAAGAGGATCAAGTTCGAGAAGACCATGAGAGGGGCAAATACGAGGAAGTTCAAGATAAGCAAAAATATTTCCACAACCACGCATGGTCTAAAAGAGAATCTGGGCTCTGCTGCCCACACACACAAAAAACATTCTAACCAGCTCACAAAAACAGAGAATACCCACAGCAAAGTACAGACAATTGCAGTTTGGTGCTTCAGACGTTGACATTTGTACCAAATGGGGTAAAGGACTGAAAGACACCTTTCTACACTGATGGCTGTCAGGAGGAAGAGGCCAGTGTTGTAGCCAAACAGAATCAGCACATAAATGCTCAGACATGACTGTAGCTCGAATGATTTCATATTAAAATTGTAGGAAATTATTATGCCCGTATTAACAGTAGATGTACAAAGAAGGAAAGTCAAGTCAGCAATTGAGAGGTATAGGATATAAACAATAAAACGGTTCTTGAAGTGGAAGAAGAGAAACCAGATGACAAGTCCATTGCCAGCTGTTCTCAACAGAGTGATGAGCAGAGAGACATAAATTGAGATAATTTCAGCAGATTGTAAATTTTAAAAAGACCCTTTCATATGGCTTGGGGCATCTGGTGTGGACTCTATAGAAGGTCTGCTGGTTGAGGACAGCACCATTATCTAGAAACCATCAATTATGCTCATCACACCTGTCAGCAGAGATAGAAAATAGTGTCTATATAGATGATATTTAATGCTATTTAATTATTAAATAATATGTTAATTGGATTTAGTGCTAGAAGGGACCTTAAAGATCAGTCCATCAATCAATAGTCCTTTTAAAGTGCCTAGCTAAGAGCTTAATCATTTATAAGACAGTGTTGCATAGTGGGTGGGGTTAGTGGTAGATTCAGGGCTTTTTGAAAATAAGTAAAACCATTTCCCAGTATCTGTTATGGAGGACAGGATTAGAAGGTGGTGAATGGAATGGACTAGGAGTAGTCAAGAGAGCCCCATCAGTACATATGTTTACAATACTTCTATAAACTTGTTCTTTCCCTAAAAGATGCAAAAGGAATTTTAAAAATTGTCTGCAGAGATGGACAGCAATCTTTTCTTTCTCTGGCTGAGAATCTATTTTCTAGGTTACTGGTGTTTAATAGAGGAGACAGTACAGTTTGCTTGTTTGTTTATCAGTGTCCCTGAGGAGGGCACTGATTTTGGAGTGCTCACGTTGTTCTCTCCCACATGGACATGGGTTATCCTCAAAGACCTTTTGCATTGTGTCTTTCAAGGACTTCCTGGCTCTCTGCCCCTTGAACCAAACACCCACCAAATATACAATCAGGTTAATGGTACTGTTAATGTAAGATAAGAATTCAAGTGTATAAATAATATTGATAAAAATGTAGTTTTCATTCTAGAAGTCAAATAACATCAGCAAAACTCTCAAAGTCTTGACAGAAATAAGAACAGGAACATAGGCTACGTTCCACTGACAGATTGTAAGTTCTTTGAGGGCAGGGTCTGCCTGATTTCATCCTTACATCTTTCTTAGGGTGTTTTAAGAAACTTGCATTTAATTTAATAAGTGAATTGAATTTATAGTTCCATTCTGTAGTAAAGAAAAGAGATGCTAGACAGAAGCCCTGGCTGGTGGGGATGGAAAGGAAAGGAGACTGAATGATTCCTGGAATTTTGTAGAAGAAAAGATGGCTGTATTAGAAAAGTGAAGTGCATTCAACATGTTTATATTTTTGTATTTATTTGAGATACAAGTTCCCCTTCTCAAATGGATATTTTTAAAATGGGAAGGTTTTGTGAGAAATAAAAATATTCTTTTTTTTTTCTTTTGGAATAAAAATATTCTTAAGAAAGTTGCTCATGACTTGCTCCAAATAAAATAGACTGAGAGTATATGTTGAATAAGAGGAGACTCATAGAGCAACAATATAGTTAGGGAGCTGAAAAATGAGAAGTGAAATGAATATACTAACATTTCAGTTATCTGCAGTTCCAACCATGGAGTCCCAAAGAATCTGGGACAACTTTGATTTGGGGCAAGTCCCTTTACCTCCCTGGGTCTCCATTTCCAAATTTGTAAAATTAGGGGGTTGAAGTAAACAATATCTAAGGTCTCTTCCAGGTCCACTTTCCATGATTCCATAAATATTGTCAGATAACATCTTAGGGGATAAGAGGATTTTGAAAGAAAATTGACAATAGGAGAGAACATAAAAGCACAATTAATTGTAAAAACTAGTGCCTTGAAGGCAGAAAAGGATTTCAGTGGGCAGAGACGTGGAACACAAAAGCACCCCCTTCTGGGTATCTTAACACACCTCCATCTATAGCTATAAGCACCCAGTGTCAGTGTTTAATTAACCAGTCAATTAACCAGTAACCAGTACTTACTACATGCTAGACGTTGTTAGTATAGGAGGGATCTAATAGTAACACATTTTCTTACACTCTTACAGGTTTTGCCATTGGAATCAGCATGTTAATATTTGTCTGCTGTGATTTACTTGCAATACAAATCCCAAGTGGTTATTTTTGAAATACTAAGGTTTTATGGGAAATAATATTTTCTTGAGAATTGTGAACTCCTTGAGGGCAGGAACTGTCTTTGCCTTTCATTGTATTCCCTAGAATTTATCATAGTACCTGGAGGTAATAGGCATTTAATAAATGCTTATTGAGTGACTGAAAAGGTTGCTTATATTCCCTAATGTAAACAGACTGATAGTGTGTGCTAAGTAAGAGGAGCCTACAAGGGCAACAATATCAGTCAGTGAGGAAAATGAAAAATAAGAAATTAAGTTAATATGCCAACCCATCAAGGACCTATGAAATCATAAGTGGAGCCCTAAAGTATACCCTAATCCTTTTCAAATTTAGTAGCTAAGCTTTAGAGACTTGGCTGAGCCTCAGAGCCTTGAAGAAGTGAAATTATATAGGTGGGAAAAAGGGGACAATTGACACAATACCAACATCCTAGGAAGAGGAAGTTGACATACATGAACAAGCCCAAGATGTCTATGGTTGCCTTATTGACAGCACAGTAAAGAGGCTCCTTTATGGTAAGAGCAAGGTAAGAGTATTCCCATGGGAGAGAAGTGAGAGCCTCAGCTGGAGAATCAAGAGGCCAGGCTCTTGTCCTGTCTCTCCTTGACACTGGTTGGGTCAAATACTTCACACACATACCTCTTTCCCCCTGACCCTTTCCCTTAGCCTCAGTTCATTCCTCGGAGTAAATTTAGAGGGAGATCTCAGGTTCCTTTTTGCTCTGAAATAGTGATGAACTTAATGTGAACTTACTGTCAAGGATTCTGTCCAGTCTTGAGTTATCCTCCAGCCACTTGCTTTTCTCTTCGAAAACAGCTTCTTGGGAGGGGGGATGCCAGTGTAACTGACTAATTGCCAATTTAGACAGGTGGTTTTTACTGGCAGCTAGACAAAGTACTCATTCACTCTTCAGACAATGTCACCCCAAAGTGCACCTGATGATGCTAACAGGATCTTTTTGTTCTATGTGGAAGCAGGAACTTAAAACGGAATGGCTACGAAAGGTTTTTGAAGTCTTCTGGCCTGATATCAAATCTAGCAATAATCCTGGTGTCTGTGTCCAGTGAGATTTGAAATCTCTTTTGCAGCTGAAATTCTAGTGGTCTATGTTGTTCTGGATATCAGAAGGCCTTGGCTTGGACACAGCTGCTCATGGGGGAGAAGTTGGCATCATTTTGCTTCCCCCACTTCCTCCCCAACAGTCCCCCCATCCCCACCCCATGGGGCACATCTATTGCTTTGGAAAAAAAGTCAGTATAAATAGGCAGGTCATAGAATGACTGCCTAGAAAAATGACTCTGAAATACTTGGTTGGTTAAATTTAAGTGAAATAAACAAACAAAAAGCCAGTTCTTTAGCAGTATAATCTAAGCCATTTTATGGTCCTTCATTTTTGAAGAGGACCAAAATGAACATAGCTAGCTAGCTAGACAGCCATATAGATAGGTAGGTAGATAGATTGGTAGGTTGATAGGGCAGCTGGGTGGCGCAGTGGATAGAGCATAGGCCTGGAATTGAGAAGACCTAAGTTCAAATCTGGCCTCAGACACTTACTAGCTGTGTGATCTTGAGCAAGTCACTTAACCCCGTTTGCTTTAGTTTCCTCATCTGTAAAATGAGCTGGAGAAGGAAATGGCAAACTACTCCAGGTATCTTTGCCAAGAAAACCTGAAATGGGGTCATGAAAAGTTAGACATGACTGAAACAACTGAACAACCACAACACAAAATAAATCGATAGACAGGTAGATAGATAATTTATTAAGATATCACTATATACCAGATAGTGCTAAGTGCTGGGAATACAAATACAGACAAATAAGACCGTCCCTGACCTCCAGGAGCTTACATAATAATGGAGGAAGACAGCACATAAAGGAGGTTTGTAGTGGTAAGCAGCACATGATGTGGAGGTGTCCAGGAAGTAATTTGGCAGTCTGGTTCTGGGCAACAAAAGGCAAAAGTTTCTCAGTCCTCAAGGTAGTGCTCTTAACATCTTGTGTCTTTGAAAACTGTGTTGCTTCTCACTTGTATTTTATAATATTTTAACAAGTTCTTTTTCTGTCTCCTTCAGACACCAAACTCTTGATGTGAAAGAAGCATCACCTTACATTCTTTACAAAGTGATTTAATCCTTTTTATTTATGCAAAAGTTCATTATCTGCTCTTTTTGGCAACCAAACTGCTCACATGTTAAAGACAGCAGTACCTTATATCTGAATGCACATGTATATATACACATATATATATGCATATGTTTATAGACACACACATGCATAGGCATGTAGGTATACACCCATGCATACATGCATGGTCACCCACGTGTGTATATACATGCGCATGTATGCATATGTGTCTATGTCTGTATGTGTTTAGGCATGTGTATATGTCTATACATATATATATATGTGTGTATGTCATAAATATAGAACATTTAAAACAACTGCTGGGTCCAGAGGACTGGGACATTATTTATTCTCTCTCCACTATAAGGCAGCCCTCTCACTGGACCTAGGTATGTAGTCCAGACTGTGTTCAGTTCTAGGGAAGCCTGACCACCTAGAAGAGGGGGTCAGACTTCTTTTATAATAACCTTTGACTCTTTTAAAAATATTTGTAAATTTCTGAACTTAAACACCAAAGAAAAAGAACATTTCCATGTATACAGCAGAACACAAAAAGATCCTTTATGAAACTGTTTCCATTTCACTCTGCCTGCTTAGAAAAAGGATGTAATAAATTCTGTGTGTTAATTTCAAAACTGTCTTGCTTTTCTATGTTTCCTTCTGAACTTTCTTCTGTGCATTAAAAATGTTATGCACGCTTTCTTTCTGTTGGCCTCACTATTGCTGTTCCCTCCTCTCTCTTATCCCATGCCCCTCCCCGAGTAACCAAGAACAAGAAAAGAAACAAACAAAAAATCTTTTGACAGATATGGGCAGTCAAGCAAAACAAATCATAGAGTCCATGCCTAAACATGTTTGACTGTACTTTTGTGTCCCTTGGCCTCTCTCAGGAGGTGGGTAACATGCTTCATCATAGGTCCTCTGTGTCAGTGCTTTGATCAGAGTTCTTAAGTCTTCCAGAGTTGTTTTTCCTTTCCAATGTTGTCTTTGTATAATTTGTTCTCTTGGTTCTGCTCATTCCATTATACATAGTAGTAGTGCTCATAGCTAGTATTTATACTGTGCTTTTGTCTGTAAAGCACTTTACAAACATGATTTTATTTTATCCTCTCAACTTTTATTAAATGCCTCCTATGTGCAACACCTGGAGAAGGCAATGGCAAACCACTCCAGAGTCTTTGCCAAGAAAACCCCAAATGGACTCATGGAGAGTTGGATGTGACTGAAACAAATAAACAACAAACGTGCCAGACCTGCGCTAGGTGTTGTGGAGACAGATACAATGAGTGAAATGATCCCGACTTTCAAAGAGCTTAGGTTCCAACAGAGAAGACAACCCTGACCTGCGTTAAATGTTTTCAGAATAAAGAGATGAGCAGGGTAGTGGGGTGGACAGCAACAACAGCCTTAAAGCCAAAAATATGTGCATTCAAACCCAGCCTCTGCTGCATCCTGGCACCTCTTAAGGTGCAGGGCAACTTTCTAAGACTAAGGCTCAGAAAAAATGCCAGCTTGCATTGGTAGAGGGAATTTTCTAAGAAATCCTTATACCAAGGAAATTGCAGAGGCAGTACCTATCCCTATCCCCTCTACAGGAATAACAAAGAATAAACATAAACAAATATGAAATAGTTAAATACAAGGTGTGTTGGGAAGGAAGGCACTAGCAGGTGGGGGTTAGAGAGTGGAATCAGGAAAGACTTCATGTCCAAAATGGTAAACGAGCTGGGTCTTGAAGGAAGAGAGGGATTCTGTGAGGCAAAGGTGAAAAGGAACACATTTCAGAAATGAAGGCTGACTGACGCAAAGTCACAGAGATGTATGGCAGAGGGCCATGTGTGAGGAACAAAGTGAAGGCAGGTTTAGCTGGATCACAGAATGCAGGAAGAGTTGTTCAGTCATTTCAGTAATGTTTGACTCTTCGTGATGGCATTTGAGGTTTTCTTGGCAAAGATATTGGAGTGGTTTGCCATTTCTTTCTCCTGCTCATTTTACAGAGGAGAAACTGAAGCAAACAGTGAAATGACTTGCCCAGGGTCACACAGCTACTGAGTGTCTGATGCCAGGTTTGGAACTCAGGAAGATGAGTCTTCCTGACTCTAGGCCTGGCACTCCATCCAGTGTTCCACATGCAGGAAGAGAGCAATGTGTAATAAGTTTGGAAAGATAAGTTGGAGCCAGGTTGTTAAGAGTTTTAAAAGCTAAACAGTAGAGTTTATATTCTTATGATCCTAGAGGCAATAGAACCATTGGAGTTTATTGAGTGGAAGAGTGACATGGTCATATCTGTGCTTAAGGAAAATCACTTTTGTAAGTGTTTTGTACAAAACACTTATGAGCTAGGCAGGCACTAATCCATTTTATACTGGCTGATAATCTGTTTTCAGAACATGACTTGTGTCTTTAACAGTGTTCCCACTGGATGACACTGAGATTAGAATACCTTCTTTTCTCTCTCTCATGGGAGCATGGCTTATCCTCAAAGACCCTTTGCAGTGTGTCTTGGATCTTTGCCCCTTGAACCGACCAACCATGGAATAGACAGTTGGGTTGATGGTGCTATTAATACAAGATAATAAATTCAGATATATAAATACTATCGATAGAAATTCATTGTTTTCATCCTGGAAGTCAAATAACATCAGCAAGACTCTCAAAGGCCTTGCAGAGAGAAGGAACAGAATGACCGTGGTGATGATGATGATGTAAAGCTTGGCTGGCTGGCGGTACTTCAGGTTACAGAGGACCTTGCTGAAGAGGGCCAAGCTTGAGAGCACCACGAGAGGGACAAACACGAGGAAGTTCAAGGTAAGCAAAAATACTTCCACCACAGCACATGGTCTAGTGGGGAACCTGGGATGTGTGCCCTGAAGACAGAAGAAGCCTGCTAACTGGGTCACAGAAACGGAGAGTGCTTGCAGCAGATTGGCGCTTTGGGCGTTGGCATTGGTACCAGATGGGGCAAAGGACTGAAAGACCCCTCTCCACACTGATGACTGTCAGGAGGTAGAGGCCGGTGTCGTAGCCAAACAGAATCAGCACGCAGAAGATGAAGTCAACTAATTGTAGTTTGGTTGAGTCATTCTTGGAATAAACCATGTGAACTATAGTATTGGTAGAAATACAAAGTAGGGAAGTTAAGTCAGCCGTCAAGAGGTGAAGGATGTAGGCAGTAAAAGAGCTCTTCTTGAAGTGGAAGATGAGATACCAGATGACAAGTCCGTCGCCAATTGTTCCCAGTATGGAGATGAGCAGAGAAACATAAGTGGAGACATTTTCTGTTGATTGTGATTTCAAGAAGGACCCATTCACCCGGATCTGGGTATCTGATATGGGCTCTGGAGAACTCACAGTAGTTGGAGGGTGCTCCAATTATCTAGAAATCATCAATTCTCTTCCTTAAACCTGTCAGCAGAGATGGAAAATAGTATATATAGATGCTATTTAATTTTGAAAAAAAAAATAGATTCCTAAGATTTAGAGTTTGAAGAGACCTTAGAGACTATTTATGAGAGATATAGTGTAGTAGTTAATGTTAGACCTTCAGTCAGGAAGAGCTGGATTCAAATTCTTTTTTTTTAAATGGCATTTTATTTTTTTCAATTACATAGAAAGACAATTTTTAATATTCATTTAAAAAATTTTTTGAGTTCCAAATTTTGTCCATTCCTCCTTTCCCTCCCCCTCCTTGAAACAGTAAGCAATCTGATGTAGGTAATTATATATGCAATCATGTAAAACATTTTCATATTACTCATGTTGTGAAAGAAGAAACAGACCAAAAGAAAAAAAACCATAGAGGCAGCTAGGTGGTGCAGTGAATAGAGCACCAGCCCTGGAGTCAGGAGGACCTAAGTTCAAATCTGCTCAGACACTTATTAGCTGTGTAACCCTGGGCAAGTCACTTAACCTCAGTTGCCTTAAAAAAAAAAACTACGAAAGAAAGTGAAAATGGTATGCTTTGATTTGCATTCAGATTCCATCAATTGTTTCTCTGGATGTGGAGAGCATTTTTATCATGAGTCTTTTGGAATTGCCTCGAATCACTATTTTGCTGAGAAGAGCTAAGTCATTCATAGCTGATCATCATACAGTATCGCTGTACGGTGTACAATGTTCTCCTAGTTAGGCTCCCTTTACTTTGTATCAGTTCATGTAAGTCTTTCTGGGTTTTTCAGAAACTGGATTAAAATTCTACCTGATGCTTTCAGCTGTATGACCTTGAGCAAGTCACTAACCTCTTTTAGCCTCAGTTTCCTCATCTGTAAAATGGGGGGAAAATAATGCCTGTAGCACTTATATTCATAGGGTAGTTTTGAGGATCAGATGGGATAATGCATATTAAAGTGCTATCACATTAGCCAGATTTTCTCTCTTCCCCCCCCCCCCCCCCGTTTAGAAGATTGAGGCCTAGAGAAGTTTACTTACTTTTCTGAAGACACACTATTGGCAGCTTTTGGCAAAACTAGATCTAAGCCTAAACCTTTACGAACTAAGGTCAGGTTTCTTTCCACTAGAGCACACGTCAGTTGATCTTTTGGTCTGTTTCAATAAGGCAGCTACTGCAATAGCAAGCCACCCTCCTGCATCTCTTCTTTTTATCTCTACCACCACTGTGATTTCTCTCCTCCTAATAAAAAAGAGAAATGCCTCAGAGAAAACCGAACATCAGCATCATGCCCTTAATACCCAGTCAGTAACTTCTTCACCTTTTCACAGTATACTGTCACTGGATACAGAAATGCGGCAGTGTTTTCCCTCTAGGAAAATGTTATTCTCCTTCCCATTCTGTGACTTCACATCTAGCTGTGGTGACACACCTCACTGTGAAGTGATGGCAAAGTCACATCTAGATGTAATGACATACATTACTGTTACTCAGGCTTCTTTGAAGGGAGCTAGACCAGGAGAGAGACTTGTCCTGGCTCAATCACTGGGTTACCATTATTTACCTTTCTGAGTTTAGTTTCTTTAACAAGAAAATGAGGGGGTTAGACTAGAGGATCCCTCAGTTCCTTTTCAATGCTAACATGCTGTGATTTTACAGCTCAAAATTGGGCTGTTTTTACATGACAAAATTTTTTTTCCAACATTGAATGCAGACTTAGGAGGAAAGCAGAGCCCTGAGCATCTTGGGACACTTGGGGGCATTCCCTCACTTGCAAATGGACACTTAGGCCTTAGCTAGACATGCTTTTCTCCAGTGACTTCTATTTTTATGTGTCAATAGCTATTTCTGTCTCTCTTAGGGCAAAAATTCCTGTATGTAGCTCTAAGGAAAAGGGGCTTTAGGTCAGGCTTGTGGAAAGCTTCATTCCAAAGTAGAAACTTGAAGTGGGAGAGGAGAGAAGAAGGAAAAAGATAAAAATGGAATTTCCTAGGCTGGTGTTTTCAGGATGTCCTTCCTACCTGGGAGAGGACAAGTTGAGAGGATTTGAGGCTGTTACACAGAACAGTGAAGTTTGGGACTAAGTGAGAGCAGCCCTATACCATTTGGCTCCAAATGACTTTATCTTAGGGCAATTCTTTGCCGAAACTATTCTAGAAAAACTGGATTACTCACTGATATTGGATCTTCTCCTCTACTTTCTCCCCACTGAGCAGTGATATAGGTTGTTCCCTATGCCTGAATCAAATGAAAAACTGAGGATCAGAGAAATTGTGTCTTGCCCAACTCCATATACCTAGTAAACATCTGAAGCAGTATTTGAACCTGGCCTTCCTGAATCCAAGAGTAGCATCCTATTCCCTTTGCTATGGTGACTCAGTTTCCATATCTGAAAAGTGGGAGTAATAATACTTTCACCTATCTCAGAGTTGTTGTGCGACTTTAAATAATATATGGGATATTGCATAAATGACAGCATCATTTGCAGAGTAGGTGATCAGTCAGTTGATGTGGAATGCTTGTCAAAACTATTTTAAAAATTATTTATTTTAAATATTAAATTTTTATTGAGTTCTAAGTGCTCTCCCTTCTTCCAGTCCCTCCCCCACCCATTGAGAAGGCAAGTAATAAAATATTAATTATACATGTAAAATGCAAAGCACATTTCCATATTAACCATCAAAACCAATATTAGTAAGGAATGGTTAATGCCTTTATTCAAGACCATTAGTAAATGAAAGTATATTTACATTTCCACATGTATCTGTTTGTGCACATATATATATATATATATACACACACACGCACACACACATGCATACACACACACGCACACACACACACACATATATATATATGTATATATATGTATATATATATATATATATATATATATATATATATATATATATATATATATATATATATATACATGTGCATACATATACATTTGAACTCCATATGATATCAGGAAGCCCAAGACACACTGAGCTCTGCTATTATAAAACTTGAAGAAAGTAATTTCTCAGTTTTTAAGTGTGTAAAATGTTAGGAGTTTGGACTGGACCATCTTCAAGACCTCTTCCTTCTCCAATTCCCATGATCCTATAAATATTTTAAGGTCGTAATACCTTAGGGCAAGGCAAAAAACGGATTTGGAAGATAAAACACTTTGGTAGTATAAGTAAACACCAGAGCTCTATTAATGGATTTTTAATCATCCTTTTATGCTGTGGACCTTGCAGACTTTCCATCAATAACTATAAGTACTCATTGTCATTGGTCAATCAGTCAGTTCACTTAGTACCTACTAAGCACTATCAATCCAATAAGAATCTAATAGTAACAAATTTTCTTATGGTCTTAAAAACATTTACATTAGAATCAATACGCTGACACTTGCCTGTTGGTTACTTGAGAGAAAACCTCCTCCTTACCCCAAATGTATAATTCTGAAATACTAAGTCTCCATGGAAAATGACATTTTCTCGAGAAGGTTGCTCATGTCCCCCTAGAGTGTGAACTGAATAAGAGAAGTCTGCAAAGAAGCAGTATTTCTATTAGAAAACTGAAAGATGAGAAATTAAATAAATACACAGACACAGCAGATACCTACAGTTTTATCAATGGAGCCCCAAAGCAGATCCCAACCCTTCTCTAGACTACTAAATTAGACTTAAAGTTATCTGAGACTTAGAGAGTTGAAAAAATGAAATTATAAGAGAAGGGAAACACTGGATATTGTAAGAATGGTTTACAAGCACAAATAAGCCCAACGCTGTCTAGTTATTTTATTGAGCCCAGCACACAACGGGCTAAGATGACGGTTGAGAGTAGGACCTGCTGTCCTCTGCAGGAGGAGTATGAGACCTGCTCCGGTTGTCAAAGACCCAAGCTCTTGTCTCAGTTCTGCTCTGGACTCTTTGAATTGACTATATTGGGTCTAACCACTCACTTCCCTGAGCCCTAGTTTCCTCTTTTGTAAACTGAGGACTTGACTCTGATCCCTAACAGCTCTGAAATAGTGATGAATAGAGAGCATAAACTTACGGTCAAGTTTCCTTATCCCAGGACTGTCGGCCAGACAGGTTGGTTTTCACTCCATAGATAGCTTCTTGGGGAAGCAACCAGCATGACTTGGTAATTACCATTTCAGGAATTTGGTTTAGGGTCTGACTGGACAATGTGACCATCTCTTGCTGATAAACAAAGACCAGCACTGACCTACGATCACCCCCAGATTGTACCTGATGGAATTAGAGGGGACAACAAGAGGTTGGACTTGGAGGGACCAAGGAGGGTGCTTGAAGACTTTTAGGGTTAATATCAATCTGGCAACATTCTGCTCTCAGAAGCTTATCTTAGCTTGCATCTGTGCCCAGTGAGATTTGAAATTTCTTTTGCAGATGAAATTGCAGCTGTCTGTGCCATTATGGACATTGGAGGTCCTTGACTTGGATGTGAAGCAGCACAGGATGGAAGCCAGTTTTTTGTCAGTAGAGGCTAAGAGAACAAGCATTTATTAAGTGCCTGCTCTGTGTGAAGTGCAGTGCTAAGGGCTAATTTAGTCTCAAGTCTAAAGGATCATAGATAGAAGAGAGCTTAGAGATCATAGAGTCCAGCTACTAAATTTTTTAGATGAAGAGCTTGAGGTTCATAGAGGTTGGGGCTTACCCCTGGTAACACAGCTAGTTAGTGGCAGAGGTAGTAAATTTTTTTTTAGACGATTGGGGTTAAGTTACTTGCCCAGAGTCACCCAGCTGGCAAGTGTCTGAGGCCAGATTTGAACTCAGGTCTTCCTGACTCCAGGATTGTGCTCTATCTGCTGCCTCTGAGAGGCAATAATCTTAAACCCACATCTCTGGATACCTATAATAATAATTGTTCACATTTATGTAGTATTTCAAAGCTGGCAAAGCATAGTTACTGCATATCTTATTATCCCCATTTGACAGATGAAGAAACTAGGGTTCAGAATAGTTAAGTGCCTTGGAGAAGGTCACACAGGTAGGAAGGGACAGAAAGGTCAGGGGGGTAGGTAGTGCTGGGCCTGGATCTGGAAGACCTAAGTTCAAATTCAACTTAGAAACTAGCTGTGTGAACAAGTTAACCTCTGTTTGTTTTAGTTTCTTCAGCTGTAAAATAGGGATAATAATAGCATCTACCTCTCTGAGTTATGAGAATCAAACAAAATGGTATTTGTAAAGTGCTTATCACAATGCCTGGCACATGGTAGACACCATAAAAATGCTAGCAATGATGATGATGATGATGATGATGGATTGGAACCCAGGCCTTCCCAATTCCAAGTCTAGTGAACTTTCCACCATGGAAGTTTTGACTCTTCCATAAATTACCTCAACCTATCTTTACAGTGGGGTTGCCATCTTTCCTTTCCTGTCTGTGGCCCTGTTTCATGGCAAAGAACTTATCTCTTGACCAACAGCCAGGTTTATCTAGTCCAGTGCCAGGTTTTGTTATATGTTCGGAAGCTAAAAAGAGGGTGGGAACCTGAGGAGCTATTTAGTAGCTATGTGATGTTGGCCAAGACAGTTAATCTCTTGGTCTGTTTTCTCATCTTTAGAATTTAGGGGTTGAATTAAAAGATTCCATAGAACATATGTAGTTATGTGCATATTTAATACATGTATATATTGTTGTTGTGTTGTTCAGTCATATCTAGCTCTTCGTGACCCCATGGACCATAGTATGTTAGATGCTTCTATTCATCACTGTCTCCTGAAATCTGTCCATGCTCATGTTTCTTGCTTCTTTGTTGTTGTTTTTTTTTTGGCTAGGCAGTGGGGTTAAGTGACTTGCCCAGGGTCACACAGCTAGTAAGTGTTATGTGTCTGAGGCCAGATTTGAACTCAGGTCCTCCTAAATCCAGGGCTGGTGCTCTATCCACTGCGCCACCTAGTTGCCCCCATGTTTCTTGCTTCTTTGACACCATCTATCCATCTGTTGTCCCCTTCTCCTTTTGCCTTCAATCTTTCCCCACATCAGGGTCTTTTCCAATGAGTCCTGTCTTCTCATTATATGGCCAGTGAATTTAAGCTTCAGCTTTGGCATTTGTGCTTCCAAAGAATAATTTGAATTAATTTCTTCAAGTATTGACTAATTTGATCTCTTTGCTATCCAAGAGACTCTCAAAATTCTTCTCCATCACCACAATTGGAAAGCGTTGTTTCAGCAGTGCTCAGCTTTCCTCATAGTCCAAAGCTCACAGCTGTCGCTAATGGAAAAACTGTGGCTTTGGCCATGAGGAACTTTGTTGGCAAGGGGACATCTCTCTGCTTTTTAGTACGCTGTCCAGATTTCCCATAGCTTCGCTTCCAAGGAGCAAGTATCTTTTAATTTCACGAATGCAATTACCATCTCCAGTGATCTTTGAGCCCGAGAATGTAAAGTCTGACCATACTCCCATTTCTTCTCCCTCTGTTTGCCAGGAGTTGATGGGACCAGTTTTCAAGCTCTTGGTCTTAAATTTTTAAGCTTCAAGCCAGCTTTTATACTCTCCTCTTTCACCTTCATCAAGAAGCTTCTTAATTCTTCTTTACTTTTTGCCATCAGAGTGGTATTGTCTGCATATCTGAGATGGTTGATATTTCTCCCAGCAACCTTAATTCCAGCTTTTGATTTATTTAGCCTAGCATTTCACATGATGTACTCGGCACATAAGTTAAATAAATGTGGTGACAATATATACAGCCTTGTCATAGTCCTTTTCCAATCTTAAACCAATCAGTTGTTCCATATTTAGTTCTAACTTCCTTCTCATAGAGATTCCTCAGGAGACAAGTAAGATGACCTGATACTCATCTCTTTGAGGATTTGCCACATTTTGTTATGATCTGCACAATCAAAGACTTCAGTGTAGTCAGTGAAGCAGAAGATGTTTTTCTGGAATCCTTTGCTCTTCCATAATCCAGGAATTAGGATGTAAATTGGGCTTTTCTAATCCAGTGACCACTGTTGTATTTTCCAGATTTGCTGGAATATTAAGTGCAGTACTTTAACAGCATCATCTTTTAGGATTTTAAATAGTTCAGCTGGCATTCTGTCACCTCCACTAGCCTTATTGTTAGCAATGCTTCCTCAGGCCCACTGGACTTCATTCTCCAGGAACAATGGCTCTAGATCAGCAACCACACCGTCTTGGTTATCGGTGATGTTAAGATCTTTCTTGACTAGTTCTTCTGTATATTCTTGCCACCTCTTCGTAATCTGTTTTGTATTTCATGATCTCATGGACCATAGCATGTCAGACCCTTCTATCCTTCACTGTCTCCTAAAGTCTGTCCAAGCTCATGTTTCTCACTTCTTTGGCACCATCTATCCATCTGTTGTCCCCTTCTCCTTTTGCCTTCAATCTTTCCCAACATCAGGGTCTTTTCCAATGAGTCCTGTCTTCTCATTACGTGGCCAAAGTATTTAAGCTTTAGCTTTGGCATTTGTCCTTCCAAAGAACAGGAATTTTTAAATTTCTGTTAAGTCCCTACCATTTTTGTCTTTTATTTCTGTCAAGTCCCTGCCATTTTTGTCTTTCATTTCTGTTAAGTCCTTACCATTTTTTTGTCATGCACGTTTTTACATGAAACATTAATAATATCTCTAATTTTCTTGAAGACATCCCTAGTCTTTCCCATTCTCTTGTTTTCTTCTGTTTCTTTGAATTGCTCATTTAAGAAAACTTCTCTATGCTATTCTCTTGAATTCTGAATTCAGTTAGGTATGTCTTTCTCTTTCTCCTTTCCCTTTTGCTTTCCTTTTTCCCTAGCTGCTTGTAAAACCTCATCAGACAGCCATTTTGTTTTCTTGCTCTTTTTCTTTCGAATGTTTTTTATTGTCGCCTTCTGTACAGTATTGTAAACCTCTGTCCACAGTTCTTCAGGCACTCCGTCTACCAGATCTAATTCCTTAAATCTATTCATCATTTCCACTTCATATTCATAAAGGATGTTATTTAGGTTATACCTTTACAATGTGATAGTTTTCCTACTTTCTTCAATTGAAGTCTGAAATTTGCAATAAGAAGCCCTGGTCATAGTCAGCTCTAGGTCTTGTTTTAACTGACTATAGAGCTTCTCTACCTTTGGTTACAAAGTACAAAATCAGTCTGATTTCGATATTGACCATCTGGTGATGTCCATGTGCACAGTCAGTTACCCTTTGGGCTGTTGAAAACAAGTGTTTGCTATGATCAGTGAGTTATCTTGACAAAACTCTATTAGTCTTTGCCCTGTTTCATTTTGTACTCTGAGGCCAAACTAGCCTGTCATTCCAATTCTCTTTTGATTTTGTATGTTAGCATTCCAGTCCCCTGTGATGAATGTGACATATTTTTGGGGCATTATTTCTAGATGTTGTAGGTCTTCATAGAAGTAAGCAACTTTGGCATCTTTGGCATCAGTGATTGGACTATAGACTTGTATTACTGGGATATTGAATAGTTTGCCTTGGATTTGAACAGATATCATTTTGTCATTTTTGAGATTATACCCCACTACTCCTTTTCTCACCCTTTTATTGATTACAAGGGCAACTCCATTTTTTCTAAGGGATTCTTGCCCACAGTGGTATATTCACCCATTCTCATCCATTTAAGCTCACTGACAATGAAGATGTCAATGTTTAAACTTTCCATCTACTGTTTGACCATATCCAGCTTAACCTGATTCATAGACCTTACATTCTAAGTTCTTATACAATATTATCTTTGCAGCACTGGACTTGCCTTTTATCACCAAGTACTTTCACAGCTGAGCTTCCTTTCATCTTTGGCCCAATTGCTTTATTCTTTCTGGAGCTGCATATGTGTGGTTATGTATATATACACACACATATACAAGGGGACAAATCAGGGAAACATCTGTTTGTCATAGGAAAGGTCCGGTGCAGAATAGATCCCCATATATGCTTCTGTTTGGGGATGGAATTGTGCTGACTGCATCAAGCCCCAGAACATTGTAGAGCCTGCTCAGTTGCACATGTACACACCTTCCCTGTGGTGAGCAACGAAGGAAATGATTTACGACTCAGATGAGAAGAATTATCTTTGTTTTCTGAATGTGGGCTTGAAGTTTCTTTTTAAAAAAAATTTAATTTATTTATTTTTGCAGATCCAAGCATTTATTTTTTTCTTTTCCTTTTTTAAAATTTATTTAAATATTTATTTTTAGTTTTCAACATTCACTTTCACAAGATTTTGAGTTCCAAATTTTCTCCCCATCTTGCCCCTCCCCCACCCCAAGACAGCATGCATTCTGAATACCCCTTCCCCTAATTTGCCCTCCCTTCTATCATCCCCTCCCCTTTTCTTATCTCCTTCCCCTTCTGTTTTCCTATAGGGCAGGTTAGGTTTCTATACCCCATTGCCCATATATCTTATTTCCCAGTTGCATGTAAAAACAATTTTTAACATTTGTTTTTAAAACTTTGGGTTCCAAAATCTCTCCCTTCTTCCCTCCCCAAACCACCCTCATTGAGAAGGCAAGCAATTCAATACAGTAGTCATGCAAAACACTTCCATAGTAGTCATGTTGTGAAAAACTAACCATATTTCCCTTCATGCTGTCCCAACCCCTGTTTATTCTATTCTCTCTTTTGACCCTGTCCCTTCTTAGATGTGTTTGCTTCTGATTACCCCCTCCCCCAATCTGCCCTCTCGTCTATCACCCCCCGCTTCTCCCCTGTTCTCTTGTAGGGTAAGATAGATTTCCATATCCAATTGAGTGTGTATGTTATTCTCTCCTTAGGGCTTGAAGTTTCTTAAGGCAGGCAAAAGTGGTGCAAGAAAGGTGGATATTATGAATCTGGTTTATCTAGAAATAGTGAACATCTATAGTGTGTCAGCAATAAATGGGACCAACTCAAGTCTGTTCAAAGTATTGGTAGAATACTGTAAGTAGTAAGCTGGAGCTCAAAACCTTCCATGCTGTCCTGTTTGGAGCACAAATAGAGTGTAGGGTTGTGCTATGTTTTGTCCTCATACGTTATGTGTGTTCACATGAGTCTGTCTAGATCTGGCTTGAAGGAGGCATCAATAGATGTATCTTCAGTCTCTTCCATCCACCCTTCTTCAAAGGAGATTGATTCTTACCAGAGAGGAAGCAAGAGGTTGATGGCAGAGGCAGGACACCTTGCTTCCTTCAGAGAAAGGGTACTAGGCTAGAATTATATATACCTGCTCCCTTAAAATTTACTAGTCTAGGTGAGATAATTTTTAGGTTCACACTAAGTTCCTGATCACTGTCCTTTAACAAGCAAGGAGTGACTCAAAAAATATATATATATATATCTATGACTTGACTCCCTTCTCACCAAATGCCAATTTTACAATAAACCCACTTGGCAAATAGCAAATGAGCTCATTTATTCAGAATTCAGAGAAGTTATAAAGATTAAGACCATGCCAGGCAACATACAGAATGAATGAGCTTTGCCACTGGGAGTGAGATAACTCAGAGACAGAGATGGGAAGACAAGCAGAGAGAGAGAGAGACATAGAAACACTCAGAGATAGTGACACACAGAGATAGAGGGACAGAGACATACGCATAAAAACAGAAAGAGATGGAGACACCCAGAAACATACACAGAGAGACAGAGACACATACAAGTATAGAGACATGCAAAGAGACAGAGACGTACATATAAAGACAGAAAGAGGTGGAGACACACAGATAATCTGTCCTACCCAGGCTGCCAGCCAAATGCAGTTGGTGTCTATGCTTTCATTCCTATGCTATCTTGATTATTTTTTTTTAATTAAAATTTGAAAGCCAGCAATCTTGGTGAATGATTAATGACAGCAGTGGGGAGAAGGATAACTTCTTTTATTCTTAAGAAGAAAGAGATGCTTTTATTCCCCTTGGCAAGATGCAATGAGAGATAGTTGAGGTGTTGCCCCTTTTCCTAACTGAAATGTGGGTACCATTATTGGTGTGGGCTAAGGTGTGGTGGGGAAGCTGGCCCCTGAGTCCCCAAGCAGAGAAACAGTACATAAATTTAAAAATCATCCTATATGCCAGTAAGAGAAATAATCGAGACCATATGTTATGGATTTTTATCATTATATCCAGGATCATTATTATTACCCATAAACTCCATCACAAGTGGGAGATCTTAATGACATATGCATATGTTTATCAGCTGCCTTCCCATTACAGGTGACCCACAGATAGAAGTAATCCCTAATGCAAGGTGAGGGTTGGGACCAATTTCATTGCTTAAGGTTCTCTGGCTTTTGTTTCTCCACCATTTTAGCCTGAGGCATTGAAACAGTAGCTGTCGAGGGTGTATTTGGTTTGGCTTTGATGAAAATTTCTGAAGCTGGCCCTCTAGCACTGGAGATGCAAGCTGCTGAATCACTGAGGCTGCTGCTAGCTATGTCTGGTGTTAGAGGAATTCCAGTACCAAAGCCTGGGCCCCTCAGATCTCTCAAGGAAAGCTACATGCATTATTATTCCCAAGACACATTAATTACTCATTCTCGTGAACAGTCCTCTAACATGTGTGGACATTTTATAGGTGAAATTCCATTTATGCTGGTACCTTTATTCTAACATATCTGTCTGTCTGGCTATCTGTATGTATATTTGTGTGTACAACTAGGTGGTGCAGTGGATACAGTACTGGGACTGGAGTCAGCAAGACCTGAGTTCAAATCTAGCCTCAGAAACTTACTAGCTGTGTGACCTTGGGCAGGTCTCTTAACACTGTTTACCTCAGTTTCCTCATCTATAAAATGAGCTAGAGAAAGAAAGTGTAGACTATTCCTGTTTCTCTGTCAAAACAACTCCCCCCAAAAAGGGTTCACAAAGAGTTGGACGTGACTGAAATGACTATATCTATCTATCTATCTCTCTATCTATCTATCTCTCTATCTATCTATCTATCTATCTATCTATCTATCTATCTATCTATCTATATGTATATGTACATATGTATATATATACACATATATATACACATATGTGCATATGTAAACATTTATACACAGATACATATTTACGTACACACACAAATGCTTTGCAAACCCTAAACTTGCTATATGGATGGGCTGTTCTCTTTTATTCCAAATCTCTTCTTTTACATGAGGACCCTGAGGCCCAGAGATGTCAAGTGACTTACCTGAGGTCATACAGGTAGCAGAGCTAGACCTTATTTATATACCTTTGTGATGGTAAGGCTAGATGTCTCTTCATTATACCATGACATGTCAACTGATTCTTAAAGACAGTTTCTGTAAAACAGCTATGGACAGAAAAATATGCAAAACCCCTGACTGTTATTTCTTTCTCTCCTTCCATCCCTACAAATAAGTTATTTTCTAGGATTTCTTTCCTTTGTCTAAAAAGGAGAGGTACCTCAGTGAGAAATGGATATCGAGAGGAGAAAGGCCTTTTTAAAATTGGTTCACTCTGGGCCTTAGTTCCTAGCCAGTAATATTATCACTATTTTAGAGTATACCATATTTTCCTTCATAATTGACTTGTGTTTTTTTCCTCCAGGAGAACATTATTCTCCTTTTCCAATTAAAATTCTCCTTTTGCACCTAGCTATATGATAGATGTGATTGTCAGTATAAGCTTCTTTGAATTTCTTTATTAGATGAAATTAGCTTGGTAAGAACACTGGTTGGGTGGGGGCAGCTTGGTGGTGCAGTGGATACAGCACCGGCCCTGGAGTCAGGAGGACCTGAGTTCAAATGTGGCCTCAGACACTTACTAGCTATGTGACTCCAGGCAAGTCACTTAACCTCAATTGCCTCACACAAAAAAAAGAACACTGGTTTGGAGTTCAGGGACCACTTGATGACCCTGAGCAAATTATGACCTCTCTGGGCTTCAGTTTTCCTCCACTATAAAATTGTATCAGATGCCCTTTTAGGTCTGACATTCCATGACCATATTGGGCATTTTTCATGTAGCAAAAAATGTACACCAGCATCTAGTGTGGAATAGGAGAAAGGCAGGGCCTCACCACCCTGGGGCATTGCCCTCTTTGCAGATGAGAGCTCAGTCCTCAGCTAGACAGCCCTTCTATTTTTATGTGCTCAATAACTTTTTCTGAAGTCCCATCAGTACAAAATTCCTGTATGTAGCCCTGGGGAAAACTGGACTTTAGGTCATACATGTGGAAAACTTTATTTCAAAATGGAAACTTGATGAGGGAGGCAGGGAAGAAGAAGGATTTAGATAAAAATAACCTCTCCTAGACTGATGTTTTCAAGACCTTCCTGCTACGTGGAACACTCCCACAAATGATCTGAGAGGAGAAAGGTCAGAGGATTGTTCCAAAGTAAGATGGAGAGTTGGGCTTAACCTGTGGACTGAGCCTTGGAAGAACTGTGAACAGGCAGTTTGTCTTTGGGATCCACTTCTCACTGCTTTTTTCTTTTTGAGTTTTTCCCATGCTCAAAGGCCAGTGAAGTAGGTACTATTATTAATTCCAATTTACAAATGGAAAAAAAACTGCAGGTCAGAATGGTTAAGTGACTTGCCCTCAATTACTAAATATCTGAAGCCATATTTAAACCCAACCAAGTCTTTCTGGTTCTTGGGGTGTGCTTGTAATTGTTTAACAAACAGAGGGGAAAGGTATGCATGACATATTTTTTAAAGTTTAAGTTTGAATTATTAGCACTTTCTTAAATCTAGACAATCACAACAATATATCAAGCCCTGATCCATCATGTTTACCTATTTCCCAGGTGTAAGTGCTAACAATAAAAATTTAACAATCAGCTTGAGCCAGTACAGTTGATTCTAGCATACCACTGATATACACTGGGTTTTTATGAGCCTTAGTTACTTCATCTGTAAAATGGGGGTAATAATACCTCCACCTACCTCATAAGCTTGTTGTGTGGTTCAAATGATATATCTTATGAATTATTGCATAAAAGAAAGTTATTATATGAAGAGTAGGTAATTAGTCAATTGGTCCAGAACACCTCTCAAAACTAATGTTGTTAATTCTTTGAAATATAGGATGGCTCTTTGGGGAGGAGAAGAAGGGGTAAAAGGAAGAAACTGAGGCAATATAAAAAGATATCAGGAAAAAGCTATTTAAAAAATAAGGTTGTTAAGGAGGGGCTTCTGCCTTAATTTAAGATCTTCAGCAAATGAACAAATCATAGAAACAGTAGAGTTTCATCAAAGAAAATCACAATGAAACAACACATCCTAATTTGAGGGATGCAGGGAATGTATTCCTGAGGGGGAAATGTATATCTGTAAACACTTTGGTCAGTGAAAAAGAGAAAGAATAGATCAGTGAATTGGACATGCAACCTACAAAAGTTACAAAGCCAAAAAAAATTATTTAGTGCTTACTATGTTCCAGGCATTGTATTAAGTGATCAAAGAAAGGTAAAGAATGTTCCCTGCTCTCAGAGAGCTCACTTTCTAACAGACGAGACAACATGCAAAAAGCTCTATATGTACATGATATATAATGTAAAAGGGTGGTAATCTCATAGGGAAGGCACTAGGGTAAGGGGGGCCAGGTAAGACCTCTTATAGAAGGTGAGATCTGAGATGAGTCTTGAAGGAAACCAGGGTAGAAGTGAAGAGGGGCAGTGTCTTCACTGAGAAAGAATGTCCTGAGAGTCAGTAGATAACATTATCTTGACTGATAAATTTGGGTGGAATGAGTCTTAAAGGATGAGAGGTTACTGGTAGTAGAAGGAAAGTCTGGAAGTGGCCATGGGGAGCCCCATGACCAATGAATTACAGGGATATGAGTAAACATGCAACCAGTACTGGAAAAGGTGGTCAGGATGCCATGCCATCAGGAAGGAGCTAGGTCTCAACAAAAGCCAAAAGATGGCAAGAGTGGGAAAGGAAAATGTTTAAGATGAAATTGTTTGTTAACTATGGAACAGGAGAGTACAGAGAGGAGTGGATAGGTACAGAGTGAGACCTTTGAGTGGTACAATTGAAAAGATGGAAATAAGGGAGCAGGCAGCGGGGAACAAGATATGGGGTTTGTATTATGGCATCTGGGAGTTAGGAACCACTAGAATGGAGAGAGTATTGTCAGGTCACAATCGGCTAACCCCTGAGGATGAATCCAATGGTTAGTTATCAATGTTAGTTTAGTTAGTTATCAGTGGTTAGAGAAAAGTCCCTTGAAGAAGGAAAGTGAATTAGATTGCTCAAGGCCTTCTATCCATGTTCAACTTTGTGGCAGGTGATGGCATAGTGTTCTATGAGGCCCAGAAGGCCCAAAAGACAGTGTAGCCTGGAAGAGAGGTGGACAGGAGGCAGGAGCTCACAATTTGAAATAAGTCTGGTTGGGAATAGCCTCCATCCCAAGGACTGGAGAAGACCCTGGAGCAAAGAGAAACATAGAGACTGAAAGGCCCAGATCAGTGCTGATCTCAGCAGGAAGAGATAGAAAATAAAATTCCATTCAAAATAACTTCGAAATGTGTCAAATATTCTAGAGACTATTTGTTAAGACACATGAGAGCTATATGAACACAACCATGAAACCCTTTGTGGGAAATAGACATACCTAAATAATTGGAAGCATATTAATTACTCTTGGGTAGGCTGAGCAAACATAATTAAAATGACAATAGTAAAAAATAAAATAAAACAACAGTACATAAATTAATTTGCTCATTCAGTGCTATACCAGTCAAACTACCAAAGGATTACTTTAAGGAGCTAGGAAAACTAATAACAGAATTCATATAGAGGGAGGGAAATAATGAAAAAAAAAGTGACTTAGCAGTACTAGTTCTCTAGTACTAGGTTATTACAAAGTAATAATCCTCAAAATGATTTGGTCCTGATTAACAAAGAGAAACAAGCTCAGAAGGAAAAAGACAAATAGGATAACTTTGAAAGTAACATGTATATGTATGTATGTATATATATTTATATACATATATCTATATAGCAAGCTATATGTAATAGAAAATAGTGTTTTCACAAATGGCCCTTACTTTCTATTCTCCTTTGCATAATACAAATACGCAGACTTTTTAAAAGTAGAGTTGGACATGATTTGTTCCTAATTTTGTTGGCTGATAATAGCTAACAGATCCCATGTTGTTGAGGAATGGTCTTACAAGGAAGAGAAGAAAAGAATGAAATGATGATGAGCCCAAAGGCTCCAATGAATAAGATTGGCTTAGTTGGCCAAAAGTAGCAAGTGACAATAATATTACACAGAAGAGAAAAAGAGGGAAAAGGTTCTTGTATAATTAAAGGTTAAAACCAGATTTGGGGTTCTTCCTAAAGAGGAGAGAGCTGGATGCTTTGAGGAAGAGGAAGCTACTTGCCCTGCTAAGAGTAATAGAGCCACAGAAGCTACCAGGTAAGAGATAATCCAGGCAAGGGCAGAGGAAGAAGAGAAAATTAGGAGTTGTAGATGACTCTCTGCTCAGGAAATATGACACAGCCATTTGCCATTCTGGTAACAGTAGAGAGATGTAATAGGATCAATATCTACTTGCCCGCACCTCAGGTTAGACTAATTATTTCTCTAACAGGCAAGGAAGCTGTTCCCAGAATGTCACTGGAGAGAGGGTGGGAGGTGGAAAGGGGTTTCAGGCTCAAAAAACATTGTTGATGATGCAGCTTCCTGGTGACATCAGGTCTTATTTTCGTAGTTTGCTGTTGATAGTTTCATAGTTTGCATAAAAAGGCCAGACCATGTGGAGTCGGGACCCTTCAGACTTGGTGATTGTCCTAAGGTCCTGAATGGTACTTGCTGGTCAGATATATTTCCCTATAGAAGGGAGAAGATTCTAACCAAGCTGAGTACTACATCTTTTTTTGTCATTTCTGTGCAAAGATTAAGTCAACCTTCTCTTGTTGACCTATAAGTGTCTCCTTACATTCTGATAATGTAAAATGTAAATTTCTGATAAAACTACCAAGGAACCACCCTGAGTCAGGCTCTGACATCAAGAATTCTGTTGTCTTTCTGGGGCATGTATCTAAGACATAAGAAAGAACCTTCCAAGGCATATGAAATGGATGACAACTACCCACGTCTGAAGATTCACACAAGCACAAATGACACTTTTAGAAGGAACCTAAAAAAGTAATACAAATAATTATGAAATCTTGGGCAAGAAACTTGAAGATTATAAGGGTGTAGTTTTCATTTCCCTGTTTT